TTGGTATCCTTAGAGAAAAAAGCTTAATCGAAAAAATGCTACCTAACGGTAGAAAATCAAAAAGCACTTCGTTGTTTTGAGCAAGCATTAAATGACATTAAATACTCAACGTTCAAAAACAATAAAAGTGATAAGAAAAGACGTATCTGCTGCATGCACAATTTACTCTAATCTTGTAGATAAGCTATTCTACACACATCCACAGTACTACAAATCAAATATCAAAATGTGGATGTTAGAGACAAGGAGATATTCATAGAATGTTCCTCACTTGAAGCAAAGTCTAAAAACATCGTACAACCTACTTCAAGAAAAGGATTGAAAAAGCATGTCTGCTTTAAGAAGTTGACTTACGCAATAGCTATTGTGGAAAGAAGAAAGAGAAAACACAATTATCAAGGCTACAAACTCGGTCTAACGAAAAAATATTCTTAAAGCCTATAAATAGAAGATCTCTCAAGAAGAAAATCAAGATGATAACATAAGAGAATAACAAAAGCAAAGCTTACAACGATATATTCATCCTAAAAAGAAGTAGAGAAAGAACTCAAGAAAAAGAATACGTATGAGCTGAAGAAAACATAAGAGAAGAGAAAAAGAGAAAGAGATACTCTTAAGCTTCATTATCATATTTCTTACTGTTGTTAGAGAGAAGAGAGAAACACTTGCGAGTGTTTAGACTACTTTGTATTTTAATCAAATTCTCTCTATGAGAGATATAGTCTGAATTGTTTGTAACCAATCGTTGATTGCAATTCTAAAGAGAATTAAAATAATTACAACTGAACTCTGTGAGTTAAGGAATCTTGGCAATGTTGCTAAGTACTAGAAGTGGTTTGAATACTTAAAGGAAAAATCGGCGGGGTTGCTGAGTGTTAGGAGTAGTGCAAATACTTAAAGGAAATCTTGACGGGGTTGCTAAGTACCAGGAGTAGTGCGACCTCAAAGGAAATCTCGACGAGGTTCCTGAGTATCAGAAGTGGTGCTAATACTCATTTGTAATCATTTGAAGATTATAGTGGAACCCTTTATGGAGGAGACAAGACGTAGCTCAATTGGAGCGAACCAGTATAAAATCTATTGTGTAATTATATCTTCTCTTACCTAAACGATCTTGTGAAAACCTGTAGTTGTGCTTTATTTTTAAACATAAGAATCTTCCAAGCTAAACAATCTTTTTCATAAAGGAAGTTCTTAACAAAACGTTGCAGTATCTACATTCTAAATAGCACGTTAAAAGCTATTATTATACAAATCTATTAAGTCAAGCTACCAATCATTTAAAGGAAAATTTCAAGAGCTTGATAATGTGTTATATCAGAAGGGTTGCGAAAAGTTTTCCATTAACATTATTCAGCCCCCTTTTAGTGTTTTTCAGGTACTTCTAACGATACGTTCTTACTCACACCACTATTAACTTCGTTTAAATTATCCACGAGATAAGGCTGGGAAAATGAAGGAAATTGATAAGTTCAGTAAGGCTTTACTTGAATTGCTAACTTCATTAAGTTAATATAAGTCCCGTAAGATAGATGTAAGAATAGAGGAACTCGATCGGTTCGAACACAATATTCGCGACAATGACAAGTAAATTAAAAAAAAGGCATACATAACCATAAGAGCAAAGCCAAACTCAAGTATTTCATTGATGGAACTATGGTGTACAAAAAGAATAGGTGGTTGGCGCACAAACAACCAAACAAAAGAGGTTGTTTGTTACCCGACCACCACAAAAAATAATAAACCCTTATGGTCTATTCATGCCCAATCACCTCCACCTCGATCGGGCCATTTGAGATCTACTCCCTCAGTGTAGTGTTATCCCCCTGTCCAGCCCTACAACGTTTACCTCTTCCTCATCAAGAATGTTGGCAATAGGCACGAGGTCTCTATTGTAAACGTCGAGTCAAAGCCGCTTCATCCGTTGAGCTATTGAAAAGGAAAGTCGCTTGACGGATGGCCTTGTTGAAGCTCGCCTAATGCTCCTCAAAGATAGCCTCATTCGTTTCACGTACCTTGACAGTCAAGTCTTCAGCTCGAGTCGATAGGCTGACATTCTCCTTGACTAAATTCCCCTTTTCTTCTATTAGTTCAGTATTTTGGGAAGATAGCTCGGTCATTATCACTTTGAGCTTACGATTCTCTTCACCCAAGATGTCATAATCTTGTTGAAGGGCCCAACCAACTTCGGTGGTATCCTTCATCACCTTGTGAGCCTCTTGAAGAAGCCGATTGACCTCCTATTGTTTCTCCTAGCACCCAGCATGAGAAATGGTGGCCTCTTTCGATTTCGTGCATAAACAATTGGCGAACTCTTGCGACTCGGACAATTAAGCGTGCAACCTCTCGTTGGACCTTTGGTCGAAGGCATATGCTAAGTGTCAATTCATTAGCGTAGCCCGATCATCGAGTTCTAGGGCCATGTCCGCTAGTTCTTACTCGAACAATTGTTCAATCATATCTTTCTCATTTGGAGCTAGACGGAAGTTCAGCTTGTTGCCTAGATAGAACTCTCTACTAAAGATCTCACGAGCTAGTTGCTTGGGGGCCTGGTCTCCTTACGACTTCTTTTATGTGAGGATGATTTCTCGCCCTCCATGCTACACCTTTTCTTCCCTTGGTCCGCTTGATCTCAGGAGAGAACAACATTTAGGGGGACTAGCTGGTGTCCTGAACGACTGATGGATGAGGCCGAGTAGCAGGCCCTTGACCAAGAGATTACACTTTGTTTAAATATGATATCATGAAAAGGGATGACAAACTGTTAACATTTATTCTTGCATGGGCTCTGATTCTCAGGGGGAGTAACCGTGCTCAATTAATTACATAAGACATCTACCTCATCCATGCACTCAAAGGGCACATTCAAACTGATTGGGCTGAGGTTGTAAGTGACACCATTATAGAAACTACAAAGGTATCTATGGCTAGATTACCTTATGTTGTCTTTCTCTCCAAAGTATTTGAATGTTACCATGTGAATCTAAATGATAAAGTATCCATGGCTTACAATAACACAAATAAGATTGAAAATTTTGGCACTTCATCACATAGGCCAAAGATGAGCCTCAAGTTGACCAAGGAGAAGATGTCGATCCAGTGATTGTTGATAAGTCACATATTTCACCTATTGTGAGACCAAAGAATGATTTTGGAAAATGTGTGTTGAAGCAACTGACCAAGGTTGTCTTGAACCATTCAACTTATATAAGGAAATTGCAAGCATCCACAAACAACTCAAAGAGAACAATATTGGCGGTGGCAGTGAGGACTTCGATGTTGATGCTGATGAGGAAGATGAGCTATAAGAAAAAGACACTGAGACATATAAAGAAGACTAAATGCTCTTTCTCTTTGTTATTTCTTTTGTTACATCTTAAATTACTTTGATTGCTTAGAACCTTAGATTGCCTGCTTTGTTGTTACACCTTTTGTTCACTTGATCTTTAGTTTGCTCTGTTCATGTTTGTTCTATTACTGAACAATCTGCTATGCTTTGCTAAATAATTTACTTTAATGTTGTGGTTCAATAGTTATGGTCTATCCTGCTATTGTGAACAATCCATTTCTACCATCAATTGATATAATTAGAAATAAATCTATCTTTATGTTTCATGGTTCATTTGTCTTTGATATCTGTCTCTCCCTATGTTTGCTAATGTCGAAAGGGAGAGAAAGGTATTTGATCTTACATGCAGGTTGGCCATCATAAAAACACATAAGTAAATTGTTTTTTCTTTAAAAAAAACAAACTCTATTATCTTTCTAATAAACAAATTTTCATACCTAAGAGTTGATAATGTAAGAAAAAAAGCATTCTTGAGTTCTTGAAAAGAGCAATTGTTAGGTTTTCTAAAATTCATCAAAAAGCTATCAAAATGAATTTGATTGATATCTTGCTTGGATATAGGACTGATTCGTAAGTTTACACTTTGGGTATACTCATTTCATTTACTTTTTACATTTTTCCATTTCTTGAATTGTATTTACGTTGCAAGTGATAATCTTGATGTAATTGTGTGAAGTATTGCATCTAGAGTTTTTATTCTTAATAGGTATATCAAGTTCTTGATATCTTAGGGTTTAGAATTATTAAGGTGTACTTATAATTTTATAAACTCTTTGACTATAGTACAAATCTTCTAAACTCAGGTTGCTTGAAAAAAACATGTATGTTCAAGTTGAATCAAACCAGTAAAAAAAATTGATGGTTTTTTCCTTTTCTTTCATCAATCTTGTATTTTCTTTTTATGGTTTGAAAAAGTTAAAAATATCATCTCAACAAATGATCTCCTCGATTGAAAAATATTAGTTGTAAGTGTTTTGATAAATCAAATATCATATTAGTGGAGTACTAAAATAAAATGGACTAAATTACATTTATAAAGAACACGCACCAACTATAAAGAAATGTTTAAAATTTTAATTTTGTTATCCGAATATACACGTTTTCAAAATTAGTGTTTAATATAATTTTGCAAGTTGTATAATTAACTCCACTTTATTACTTAAAAGTAATATCTCTGTTAGTTTTGCTTATTCAAAGCATCATATAAACAACGGTGTTTTTAATTACCACGTCATATTGTTTGCTCTAGTGATAACTTATGTTCGACAACAGTTATGTTAAGCATCAAACAAATTATGTTAGGCCACAGTTACGCAACGAACAACTGTACTGGAGATGACCTGAATAATTTCACACAGTTAGAACCTTATGTTGCTTTGATAACTAAAATGAAACTATGTTCAGCAAATCATACTAGAATAAATCAGATTATTGAGTATAATTTTCATGTATAATCATTATAAATTATCAACTAATCCAATAACCATTATTGGTAAAGCGAACGCCATGGTTATGCCTGTTACATAGTGTTGCATTGTTTGAGGTTGAGTTAAAGTAAAAGAAGAACAGCAACCAAATTTTACTGTTACAGAATTATTTATGTACCACTAACACTAACATTCATACTGAGCAAGTAACAGTCCAAAAATCAATGTGAACAGAACCTAGAGATGGATGAAATAGGAGCCATGGGGTGCAACATTTGTTCTTTCTCGTGTTGTCGCATGACAACTGAAGATACTGTACACCAATCAAATCCTTCCTAATACAATTTTCCATAACGACAAGCATCTTGCGCGGAGAAATGAAGTGTGAGGTTACCAAAGAATTCACCACAGTTGACTACAACTAGACGTGAAACTGTGGTACCATTTATCCTAATAAACAATCATCAGCACTGCAACTAGTTGTGCTCATACTACCCATACAACAACATATTGTATATATTAATTACCATGGAGCAGCATTCCTTCCCGCCACTAATACAGCATGGAAGTCGGAAAACTAGCTACTTCAGAAATTCTCGTAGTATATATCTTCAAATACATCGCCAAAAGGGATGAATAACTGAGTATGAGGCCCTCGAAATCCCGGTGTCATGTGCTTCCTGGAGCATCACTTCCCACAGCTGGTTTGCGATTCAGATATCGAATAACAGCATCTTCAACCCTGTTCAAGTTGTCAAACAAGATCAAATTTTACAATGATTGTAACTGACGTGCATTTATATAACATCGAAGAAAAAGCACATAAACACTGATTAAGTCTACCGTTAAATTGGCACAAACACACTAAGCAACTATTGAGACTTAGAAGTGCTATGAATATAAAAAAAAAGGAAGAGCGTTAAGTGCAATCTTGAGAAGCCTCAGGGGTGTCAATATGATTTGCTCAAAGGAAAAACATGTTATGCACTTTTAGTCACATCTGAATTTTGAAATGAAATCCTCCCGTGGATATGAATTGGTGAAAGTGCATCAGTCAAGTAAAATAGAATCCAAACAATATCATACATCACACTAAACAAAGGCAGCATATCCAAATAAACTATTAATCTCTAAACTATAAAGCTAGATTTTAAATTATTCTCGTTACATCAATGGTAGCAATGTTGACAGTATAATGAACAAAAAATAAGATAAATGTTAAAGCTTACCATGGTTGGTTGAAGAAATCTGATCGACGCTCTTTCTCTGCATTGCGACTAGGTTCTCCGGAAACAAGTTTCAGATCCCTGCTTTGCGATTCAATCAATGCATTAATAAATTCTACTGGCGATTGACTGAAACCAAGAAAGAATGACCGTCTCCTTCTGTGCTCATGAATTTTTCTAATGATTCCACATATTGCTTCATCACATGTCTCAATCTCTTTGTTCTTTTCCACATTAGCCAATAAAGCAGACAACTCCCTCTGAATTGGGAAAGGAACATCAACCATCACATCATAACAAGCAGTCCCAACTGGACTGTTTCCCGATAGCTTGATCTTGTGTTCCAAAAGTATAGGCTGTGGAGGGAATAAATGTGAAGATATTTTCTGCGAAACCATTGTAAACTTCATCTTTTCTTCTCCAAATACTTTCTGAAGAGGCTGATCACAGTGAAAGAAAGAAGGGTCATTAGGGTTTTGCAACTTCCTGGCCTTTACATAGTGCCAGATCGCAGCAACAATCCTTGGGCGGGTATCAACCTCAATACCAAGAACCTCTGTCAAAGCTGGTGAAAGCTTAAACTTCTCAGGCACATAATGCATTTCCAGACGTATATTCACGGTAAACTCTTTATCCCCTTTCCTCTTTACTTCAAAACCTTCATGTGGAGCAGGTGATCGAGCATTCTCCCACATAATAATGTGATTATCTGGATATAGTCTCTGATCTAAAGAAATGGTTACTCTTTTGAAGAAAGCTGAAAACTTCGGATACAGAGGAGTGGACTTCTGAACCACTCCTGGCTGATCAGGGTCTACACCATCTTCCAATATCCTTCCAACTATCTTCAGCGTCCAGGTTGGAGGCTCTGCACTCGGCTTCTTTGGAATTGTGCGAATTTGATTAGCAAAAGTGTTAAATACATAGATGCGAAGAGTTTTCTGAATACAGGGTGGGTTTTTGAGCGCTTCCTGGATGTCAGCCTTCTTTCTAGCAAGTGACGCATCAACACGAGACTCAAACTCTAGAAGCTGTGTGTACAGTGCAGACTCAGGTAATATAGCTGCCACTTTATCTTGCAGCTGTTTCTCGGGAAGCTTCTGCTTCTTCCTCCGCGAAGCAGGTGTGAGCTCCATCGGTCTCAAAGGGGAGAAGCTGTTAGGAGGGGAAAATCCCACTGGCCGAATTGGGGGTTTTAGAGGGATCCGTTTCCCACTTGCATTACCCGGTGTGGAAATAGCCGACGACAGCCCCAAACTCCCCAAACCACCACCTTGGTTCTGATTAAGAGTCAACCCCTGTGCTTGCAAATGAGCCTGGATTTGAGCATGGGCTGCAGCTGCTGCTTGGGCATGGGCCTGAGCCTGGGCCTGGGCCTTGGACTGAGCTTGGACAATAGCATGAGCCTGGGAAAGTGGAAACTGCCCTTGAAAACCAACGGGAATCTGGCCTTGTCCTTGGGACTGTGAAAAACCATGGTTTGCAGGTATAGAATTGGAGGGTATTCCAGCATTGCCAAAGGATGAGGAAGATGCCCCAATGCCCTTAGAAGGGTTATTATTGTTCACAGACATCACTGTCCAAACCTAATCCACTAGTCAACCAGAAATGGGCAAAACAAAAAACAAAAACAAAAACCTCAATACCAAAATGAAGAGATCCTGTCTTTTAACTCTCGATCTTAACCAGTGAACCAAGTGGGAAAATAACCAACAAAATCAAGCGTCCAAATTCAAAACTCGCGTGAGTCGCCACCAACTACGAATTTGCATTGCCCCGGAAAATTACAAAGAACCGAAAACGAAAAACCACTGAATCGACTAGGGTTTACCTCGATCTGGCTTTGGAAGGATCCACGTAACTCCAGGTGATTAGAAGAACACGAGATTAGCTTCGGCGCATGGGGCTTCGGTGGGAGAGAGGGATGGATTGGAAGGATCTGGAATTTGAGGAGAAAGAGGGCTAAATTAGAGAAATGGGAAAGAGTGAGAAAAATTGGGAGTGGTTCTTTTCAGGAAGGTGGACGATGATTGCGGTGAAGCGTGGCTAGGGTTAGGAAAATGGCCCAATTTTGGGAGGTCAAACCTCAAAGTTTAGTCACTGAATGAGTACGCCTTCCCTTCTAGCTTTCCAGCAAAACGCCGTCGTTCGTGTTGCATCGTCCTTCCTACAAAGTGATATTTTCTACAAATATTTTAATAATAAGTATAGTTTTTTTTTTTTTTCATTATGAATTTATTTTATTCATTTTGATCTCATTATAAATGATTGCTAGTTATTATTATATAAAACACTAAATTAGGGACATCTCTATACATGTTTTTGAGAAAGTTTTAAAATATTATTTAAAGCACAGCTAAAATAACTTGATGTATTTCTGTTTGTTTTACATTCAATAATTAACTATATCTTTTAAAATGTTAAGTGACTTTGCAATATTAGATAAGGAAAATAAAACTTTTAAAATATGGAGGAACATATTTGGTAAGACTTTAAAAATATAATCAACTTTTAATATTAGGAAGAAAATAAACTTTGATACCCGAGTTATGATTTCAAAAGCTTAACTAGTCCAACGGTTTTAACTGCAATGGAATTAACTTACTAACTAGACTGGTCACTTTAAAATAGAATTTTTCCAAATTTGGTGAGTAGTAAGGAATCAGTCAAACTTTGGTGCATTCGACCCATTTGAACAGAAGATCATTGAATTTGGTATTTTAATTTAGTAAAACACAATATGTAATTGGTTGATTTTGACATAAAGGGACTTCTTTTGGTGATTAAAACAAATTAAAATTCAAAAGAAATAGATTATAATAAAATCATTTTAACTATTAAAAGGAAATTTAATGTGTTAAATGTATTGGTAGAGTTTTGAAAACAATAATATGCTGTTATTAATAAAGTAAATTAACTTTTTAATCAATTAAAACTACTAAAATTTCCATATTAACCCATTTTAGTAAATTAAAAGGGGTTTTAATATATTAAAACAAAGAGAAATATTCTGTATTCGCGGAAATCAAATAAAAACTAAAATTATACAGTAATCAAAGACCTTTAACTTTAAATAAAAATCAATACATTAATTAAAACTGAAATAAAAGTGAAATATGTAATGATAAAAATAGAGAAACGAAAAAGTTCAATGAACTAAATTTATAAAGGGATTACTTAAAGATTCTTTATAGTTAATTTTAAAAAAATCTTTCTTTTTAAGACTTTGTTCATTTGAATGGATTTGGGGAGAATAATTGAGGGGATTTGAGAGTAAATTTTTTTAATCTGTCACGTCAATTAAATCCTACACTAATTCTCACAAATTTTACTTCCAAATTTACTCTCACTTACCTCTAAATTCACTCAAATAAACAACAAAAAATTTATTTTCAAATCCTCTCAAATCCCCTCAATCACTCTCCCCCAAATCCATTCAAGTGAACAAGGCCTAAGTTATCCAGTTCAAACTTTATTTAGAACTGCATTTCTAGAACTAGGAGCGTTAGACTGGGAGAGTCTCACCGACTTCAAAATTTTGATACAGATGAACATTCTCCTTTTAATAATTTACTTTGGATAATTTAATTTTAATTGTCAAATAAAGTCTCGATATTGTATGTAAACTTCATATATTTTTATCAAAACGAATGATATTTAATTTTATTGAAGAGTTGATTTTATTAGTAAGAATGATAAATAACTTCATATGTGGATATTGTATAAACTTGTTTTTGTTTGCTCTATGATGATTGAAATAATGTAGAACCTTCCAAAGAGAAAACTTTTTACTTTTCAAATCTAAATATTTCATAATTTGGATGGTAACGTACTTCAAGCTGAAATGTTTTTTAGGTTTATGTCTCTTCAAGATTAAGAAAATATATGTTTATAAAAGACACTTTGATGTTTAAGTTAATTTAGACAACAATAAATATTGTAATAATAGATACGTCTCTATTTATCTCGTGTATTGTGTTATTTATACTATATTTTATGTTTTTTCTTTTATTTAGATGGACTTGGTCCACATGTCTAATTACCATGATTTGTCTTTAATTAACCAATTTTACTAATAATGCTTTAATCTTGATGTTAATATGGTCAACGTAATTAACGATTGTCACGGAGGTTGCCTTGGCTGAAATGTAGTCAACTAGGTTGTCATGGTATGTTCTTATACCTTAGGGGTCGAGTACATCTAAGCAGAGGTAGCTGAGATGTACTCGGACACATGTAGTACACTTGCCCCCAAGCTCAATATACATATACTCGAGTCTTGATGTTGTTGCCATGGTGTCAATACCTAGTGACATTTTGTACAAAAAAAATGTATTTATTTGGTCTCGTCCTATAGGTATTATAGTCCCTTGGCCTTGAGAAGCATAATGATGAAGAGGTTTGAATGATGGGATGTTAGTTTTGAATAAATGTGAGGGGTGAGTAGTTGTCAGGAACATAAGAAAAAAGCGAGGAGGCAAAACGTTACATGTGTTCAATACTCGTCTCTTTCGCTGGCCTTCTATAAGTTGTAATTATTTCCAAACTTTGTGGACGCCTAGGCCGACACTATAGGTGACAAGTGACTTTGAAAATTGATCTAACAGGACCATCGTGTAGGTAGTAACGAACTTCAAAAAGTGTTCAATCATGACCAAGAGAAATCTTATTAGTAGGGGAGATGTAAAGACGTTGAGAGATAAGAAGAAATTCTTAGAATGTTTCCTCAAGCTTTGTACTAAAAGGTGTTAAGACAATATCGTCTAGAGAATAGACCGTCTAAGCAACTCAAGTTTTGAAATTTAACTAAAAGCATTATGCGAAATATCGTTGTGTATAAAAAGTTGTTTTAAAGAAATAAAACCCAAGAGAAAAACATTTTGTAACATTTGTTATAGACAAAATCAAGCTTATGAATAACGTTTTCTAGACTGAACTATCTGATGAACTAAGTTTATGAACAACGTTTAAGAAAAAAAAATGTTTCTCTTTTTAAATCATCTAATAGCCGATATGAGTAACAAGCTAGTGTTTTATGAACATAAAATTCTATCTCTTATATAACATTGAATCTTAAAGAAAGTGTTATTCAATACAATGTTAATTCAAGTAAAGCGTCTGATGAACTACATCGTCTAATGTATGACTGTTAAACGCTACAAATAGTCTTTGATAAAACATCTATTGTTTTACACCATTTGAGGTTATTGTATGTGGTATTGTTTACCAAACGATTCATTTATTAATGGCATGACAAATGATAAAATGTTTTGAACACGCAATATGACTTAAAGCTTATCAAAGTTCAAAATATTTAATACATGTACGATAAAATGTTTTGATGGTTATATACATTATTCTTGATATTTGTGCAGATTACTAAAGCAAAACGATATGATCAGAATCACTATACTCAAGAGAAAGACGTTGTCAGAGATGAAGAACATTCTGGGAATGTTTCCCTTGAATGAAGTCTTCTATTCTATCACATCGTACAAGCTCGATTTTGCTAAAGGTTATGATAAAGCTATGTACCTCTACAAAGTATACTAAAGTTTGACTTTCCACCTAAAGCTACATGCTCTGTTGGAGTCAACTTATTTGCCTAATGTTCATCTTTCACGAAAAGCTATAAATAGACAAAATTTTCATACCTGCCCTACTTGCTGACTCCTCTGCTCAAGCTTAATTAATCAACTGATTACTAAGAATAATGATCGTCGACTAACAAGACTTGAAGCACTGCTCCAAGCACACAAGGAGGAACAAAAGACCTACCTTCAGACCCTCCTTAAATCCATAGTCCATTATTTTCAAAAACGGGACAAACCCTCACCATCAACTAGGGAATAGAACCAAACGGCTAGTGTAAATTTATCATATGAAATTTCTTTTGCTTTGACTTTCTCTGAATTCATTGGTTTCTTTTGTGATTATTTTTAACTACACTCGTCTACATTATCTTATGAAAGCTGCGAATTAAATTATAGATTGTTCTGTGATATTATTAGTAGTTAATCATTTGATAGTTGTTAGCTAATTGATAGTTGAAAACACCAACAAAATGAAGAACTCACATGTTCACATAGCAAGTTAGCCTAATAACTAGTAAAATAGGGAAATGTCCAAATCTTTAGAATATATTACATCATCCATATATGATACAACACAAAAGTCTACATCAATCTAAAAACTCTATTATATAACAATATCTAAAGTAGGTTTAGAAATCATTGAACACCTTTAGTTTAATAAAATACTAAATACAATGATAAAACACCAGGTATAATAGAAGAGAAGAACTTCAAACAATGAATTGAATACCCAAAGAAATTGATAAAAGGTTCGTAATGAATCCTTAAAGCAAATAAGGGAGTGTCATAAAACATGAGAAGTCTAAACCTAGAAGAAAACAGAAAAGACAAAAGAGTTGATGAGCTACAAGTGCACTTATCCTTAACAATTCCAAACACATACCTAATAGTGGTATCAATATGCTAAAACAACTAGGAAGAGAAATATGTTTAGCATCCTCTAATACCTCTTTTATCTTTCTCAAATAAGGGGGAGAGAAATATGCTAAACAAAAACAAATAGGAAGAGAAGTATGAATAAAATGCCAAATAGGACAGATAATAGACGAAACATAACACGCTGAAGTAGGGGAGAAGTACATCTAAAGTACCTTCTAAAATAATGAATAGAAAAACTTTTCGTTTAGCATTTGTATTTGTTAAACATAAAAAAAGGAGATTGCTAAAGATAAGATCGTTTGAGAAAAAGATCGAGATCGTCTACGACATCTTTGGTTGTGAAGTTTAACAAATAACATTAAACGAAGTAGCGGTAGATCATCAAATATACAAAAGAGTATAAACAAAGAACAAATCACAATGGTCAAAACACTAAAAGTCAGACAACCAACATAGGAATACAAAGTTATGACTAAATCTACATAAGATGATGAAACAACATAGGAGCATAACAAGGAGTTCACACAATAAAGCTAAAATATATAACACGCACAAGAAACATTCAAGTACCATTGACAAAACACTCAGCACAACAGACAAAACACTAAGCACAACAACATACAAAATCTGAAGAATGTTATACTCAAATCATAGTAATTCACCCATAAA